GAATGGTCAACCTGATTAAAAGAATCTGTGGAACTCAAGGATGCAGCCAATAGCCCCGCTGGAATATTGCTAAAAGCGGCGTATAACTAAACTCACTTACCGCAACCAGGACAATGTACATTACATATTTCCTCATAATATATCATTCAGTATAAACTATATTTTACTGTATACACTGAACACATTGAGCACACGTGACTGGCTATTGTTCTCCAGTATGCTGGCATTGCTGGTATGTTATTTCTCGTAATGCATACCAACAAATACCTAACGGTTCACGACTGTTGAGTATGTGCTTACGTCGTGTTGACTGACAGATGCAATGTGTGATTACCTGCTGGTTTTATGGATGCTGAGGAAAGGAATCCTTGGTATGCCACTCACCATTTGGAAGGGATAATATATTACACCATCATATACCTAATTAAGTATCTTTGTATGTATGTGTAAACATTACATTATCAGTATCTCTAACAAACGCTGAGTTGTATATGTTCAAATATGTTCTTGATTTTTTTAACATAAATAGTCTATAGGGCCATCTATATCTCCATAAATGACTCCAATGACTGATTGTGTTTTGAGTCATCTAAATAACGAAACATTTCAGAAGTATAAATACGGAAAAAGATCATCAACCATTGCAATTGCATTTTGAAAAATCGGCAATTTAGTGTTAGTTTTATTCAAGACGAATTATGTCTTCTTATCCCCCCAAATAGTCATGATGCCTAACTGTATTTGTTCAGTATACTTTTAAAGGGTCGTAATACTGTACTTACACCCACTTTTATTGGTCCATATAGTACTGAAAGTTGTTTCACTATATCACGGAGACGGTGAACTACATATTGCTTTGGTTGACATTTAATCAGATTTCTGTCACTGTCGACTATGATGCTACCGATGTTGTAGGCTTGCTGTTTGTTACCTTGATTATCGTGGAGTTTGGGTCACGATGGAGCGGCTGGTTCCGCGCATGTCCGTCACTCGCTGCACACTCCCAGCATCATAGTCTACCGTTCCACAAAGCTATCGTAGAGCTAAGCTGATCATAGCGCGGATACTTTAACATAGACTTAGGACAGTCGTAGCGCTACGATCACTTTGTGAAACGGGGCCCAGGTCCAGTACACGTGTATTTACCGAGAGAAAATAATAAAGCCCTGACTCGCGAGGATGAGTGATATTTGTGTCACCGAAGGGAACTATGCAAGAATGGAATGGAATGAAAGTAAAGTATTTAGTACAGGATTGTATTAACACAGGAAATCTAGTTCTCAAACTGCACATCTTCAGTTTACCTTCTTGGGACTGGTTTTGCGCCATAAAGAGACAACGCTACCACATTCCAGGCGCGGTGGGGTAGCCTAGTGGTTAAAGTGTTCGGTGGTTACACCGAAGACCCGGGTTCGATTCCCCACATGCTTGTACATTTAGATGATGGGGGTAAGACAACATGGGCGTCTCATATTAGAACTCTTTTATTTTCTCATGGCTTTGGATTTGTGTGGCTAAAGCAGTTGGTAATATTAAGCAATTTCTTAAGCAATTTCGAGAACAATCTGTTAGCATGTATTATCAAGAATGGCATTACTGCCTAGACAATAGTTCAAGATACCAGTTGTATAGATCACATAAGAGCTTAATTCAACCAGAACTATATCTATCTGTATTGACATCGAGAAACATTAGTCGCACACTTGTCAATTTTCGATTGGGCTTGTTAGACTTATCAGTAAATAAGGGCAGACGATTTTCAATAGAGAGACGTTTAAGGATATGTCCATTATGTAACTCGGCTATAGAAGATGAAATTCACTTCGCTTTTGTATGCCCACATTATGCTGATTTAAGAAAAAAATATATCCCAAATAATTACCTGTTAAAATATCCTTCATCTGCCTTTGCTTCCATTCTATCCTCCCAAAATGAAAATGTAACACTTAATCTTGCGCTTTATGTAAAACAAGCTGTTTTCCTTAGAAGCAATATCTTATCTGACCTGTAATTTCTTTGTGAAATGTCTGTAACATGTGCTGTATATATACTTGTATTACTTGTATATGGGCCGGAGGCCTTAAGTACAATAAATATCTTTGACTTTGACTTTGACACATGGATACAATGTGTGAAGCCCATTTCTGGTGTACCCTGACGTGATATTGCTGAAATATTGCTAAATTCGGCGTAAAACTAAACTTTGTCTCACACACCCACCACAGTCCGATGCCCAAAGGTGCTTTCCTGTGCACTTTTTCTGAGCAGAGTTGGGCACCATACATGTTGTGTATTTTTTTATTTTCTCCCCCACCACCCCCAAACCCCCCAAGTGCAGGTTGGATCAAGGGCTTTCACTTATAATGTACAGTGTCATTACCATAGAGCGATTATCTCCCTTGCCGTCATGTGTACAGCTGGAGCCTCTGGGTTATCATGTTAGAGTGCAGTATTTCTCGCTTTGTGTATATATAGTCGATATCTAAAATCGGGAACCATACTTATATTGTCATTGTAAATATATTCCTTATATGCCAACAGTGTATGAGAGATTAACAGACATATTCATTATTGTTTTGTTATACATATTTACTACTTCTTTTATGATAAAGTAATATTTACATATTCTTGAAATAAAAATATATATTTACATAATATATATAAAGTTGTTTGCATTTCTTGCTGTTGGGGTGTGTCTTCGTTTTAATATACGTTACCCGAGCTAGTTAAGGGTCTGCAATGCGAATTTAGTCAATAGCATAAATTCTCGTACGCATTGGGTGCAAACCCGGATACTCTCCATTTTGTCCATGCGTGGGTCGTCAGTGGAAAGTGCATAAGGTTCTTTAGAAAGAATAACGCAAACGCATATGGATAATATTGTGTCTCTGCTGTTGGAACTGTCAGTTCCTGCAAAGGCGTGTGCCAAGTGTTGGAAGATATTTCACCTGGTTGATGACGCAATGACGGTGGCACCCCATTAGTCATACGACCCATTAGTTATAACAGGGATAATCTACAGCACCCCATTAGTCATACGACCCATTAGTTATAACAGGGATAATCTACAGCACCCAATTAGTCATACGACCCATTGGTCATACGACCCATTAGTTATAACAGGGATAATGTACAGCACTCAATTAGTCATACGACCCATTAGTTATAACAAGGATAATCTACATCACCACATAGGTCATATGACCCATTAGTCATACGACCATTAGTTATAACAGGATAATCTACAGCACCCCATTGGTCATACGACCCATTAGTCATACGACTCATTAGTTATAACAGGGATAATGTACATCACTCAATTAGTCATACGACCCATTAGTTATAACAAGGATAATCTACATCACCTCATAGGTCATATGACCCATTAGTCATACGACCATTAGTTATAACAGGGATAATCTACAGCACCCCATTAGTCATACGACCCATTAGTTATAACAGGGATAATCTACAGCACCCCATTGGTCATACGACCCATTAGTCATACGACTCATAAGTTATATCAGGGATAATGTACAGCACCCCATTAGTCATACGACCCATTAGTTATAACAGGGATAATCTACAGCACCCCATTGGTCATACGACCCATTAGTCATACGACCCATTAGTTATAACAGGGATAACCTACAGCACCCCATTAGCCATACGACTCATTAGTCATGGCCATTAGTTATAACAGGGATAATCTACAGCACCCCATTGGTCATACGACTAATTAGTCATACGACCCATTAGTTATAACAGGGACAATCTACAGCACCCCATTAGTCATACGACCCATTAGTTATAACAGGGATAATCTACAGCACCCCATTAGTCATAGGGGCGGTGGGGTAGTCTAGTGGTTAAAGCGTTGGCTCCTCACGCCGAAGACCCGGGTTCCAATCCCCACACGGGTACAATGAGTAAAGCCCATTTCTGGTGTCCCCCGCCGTGATATTGCTGGAATATTGCTAAAAGCGGCGTAAAACCAAACTCAGTCAGTCAGCCATTAGTCATACGACTCATTAGTCATACGACCCATTAGTTATAACATGGATAATCTACAGCACCCCATTAGTCATACGACCCATTAGTTATAACAGGGATAATCTACAGCATCTTCTATTCTCCCTGAATAACCTAAGTAAAAGATCGCAATGCTCATTTGGTGACTGCATTTTAAAACTCTGAAATTAGAAATTCAACCAGTTGGTATGCGGCACTTGCAACTAGGCAATTTATACAGGGTATAATGACACAATGTTAGTCTCATCACACAATGCTGGTCTCATAATGACTTGAGATGTAACATAGGATGAGACACAAATAGACAGTACTCTAAATATAGCACATCACTGCCCTTACTGAATCTGTATGTACACTGAGAACGGTAAGAACAACACTACAACATCGATCCATGGCACTATTTTGTCAGTGACTTACAGTACTTGCAGCGTTGTTCATGCAATATTCTTTGCATGTCTAGTACACAAAAATCACAGAGTTGGTCTGATGTTTTGATTATGATCAGTGTTTCATTGAATTCTATCGTTTTCGAGTTAGATTTCGGTTGATTTTGAGCCAAACGGACTATAGATGAACGTGGGTGTATCTTTTGTTGCCTTGATGAATACACATCGCAGATACACCTACTCACTCGCCAACACATTTGCAACTTCAGCAACATGTAATGCTATTGGTCGGTTGGTTAACGCCGCACTCAGCAATATTCTAGGTATATGACGGTGGTCTGTGAATAATCGTGTTTGGACCAGTGATCAACAGTATGAGCATCGATCTACGCAATTGGGATACGGTGGCAACAAACAAACAAACAAAAGATACACAAAATGTATATTGTGTATATTAGCGGGTTGTGTACTCCCACCCCTCTAGACCCTCCATGTTTGGAGCTGATTTTAATTTATTACTTCCTTTTTGAAGCAACGTATTTTATGATATGATTGTGTACAACATAGTAATGTGTAGATAACACACGGAGTGGTATGATACATACATACTAACATTTGTATAGCGCCGATATCCAGCTAAGCTCAGCTGCTCAAAGGCGCTTTGTTTTTCCCTCGTTCGTTTTGCATGATGGGCATGCATAGAGACTAAGACCGTGTGGTTTTCCTTCTGTCCACAATAAATACGTGCACGCTTGAAAGGAATCCAGGTTCAATTGTATGTGCCTAAAGTCAATACGTAGTCACGCCCAGGTCGTCCTGCACCTGCTCTCATGTGAATACAAATACAGGTAGCATTCGATCACGTGACCAGCTTTCACCTTTGGACTCCTTTAGAGGTGCATCTGATCAGACGAGGTAAGTTGTGTCTTTCACCTCTGCTCAGAACGCAGCTGATATCACAGAAAGCGTAAGTTGGTTGCTTGTACCCCATGCTTGTCATAATATATACCCCACCATGATTTAACTGCTATTGCTGCGTGCGGTAACCACAATTCTCCAACTCCCTATAAAGGGCTAGGATTTCAACTTGTAGCTGCACACAGCTACGAAATGTTTCATAGTTTAAATGTTTTCGTCATAAATCCCTGATATTAATCTGTATTGTATTTTATATGCTTCATGCTTCTAACGACAAACAGATAACAATTCACTTACTAAGACTTCTGCTTTCAAATAACAGAACTTATACGTTCAGGGTGGTGTGGTACAAAACGACCTTTGCGCTGAGATTGACGTAGGTCTGTGTTAAGGTCTGGGAGTTACGATCGCCATACTGCTGTGTTTGCTTTGTACAGTGCCGCCCAATCAACCCAACCCCAACCCACCAAACAAAATATATTATTTTCGTATGAGTTGTAGATCCGACAGGTAAACACTTTTTTCCGCTTTGCAATGGCCAAACATTCGTACATTTTGATCATTCCAATATGATAAGAACATGGAGAATAGTATGATTGATTTTAAGAGCACATATATTTGAAGGCAATTAAGTCCTGTTGCAGTTATATATTTATTTCAATTCACATACATTGCCTGAGGGTTGTTACTGTGACATGTTCCGACTGACTGACTGACTGAGTTTGGTTTTACGCCGCTTTTAGCAATATTCCAGCAATATCACGGCGGGGAACACCAGAAATGGGCTTCACTCATTGTACCTATGTGGGGATTCGAACCCGGGTCTTCGGCGTGACGAGCCAACCCTTTAACCACCAGACTACCCCACTGCCCCTGTGGCATGTTCCGGTTTGGTTTGGTTTGTTGTTTAACGCTATATGAAAGCGGTCTGTAATAATCGAGTCTAGACCAGACAATCCAGTGATCAGCATCATGAGCATTGATCTAAGCAGGGATAGGATGATATGTGTCAATGGGTTCAGTAAGTATGCGTTACTGAAAAACAATTCTAACCCGAATCTTCACGGATGTTATCTGGAATGATCCCGGATATTACCCGGATCTTGATGTTGGGGAACATCCCAATATGACCTAGATAGCTTGATCTTCTCATGCAGGTCCGGGATGTTCCGAATCGAGAATTTGTTAGAGAAATAAGGTGGAATATTCCGTAGCTTTGTGTAGCGTCAATTAACATCAAAATTGTTTACTGGGAGCAACACCAAGATACGGATAGAATACTGCCGACTGTCACAGAAATACTTATTCTATATTCGTCTAATCCTTCCGTAATGGCGAGTTGTTTTGGGGTGGGTGTTTTCAAAGTATAATGGCAAAAATGTTCAAATAAAAAATGGAATTACCAACTGTATATGTCATCACCGTTATTGGAAGTCATCACCGTTATTGGAACATGTATGATTACGCACATGCGCACGCACGCATACACGCGCACATACACACACACGCAAATGAGAGTTCAACCTAACCTATGAGAGTAAGCGTTGTTATTGTTTTATACTTGGGAAAATATCAATTAAGTTCAAGGCAACATTTGTTCAAAACATCGAGCTCGGTAAATCCGGGATAAACTGAGTTACTGAACTGAAGGTGCAACAGAAGATTTATCACATCCGTTTTCGCGAGATCTAATGTTGTAGCTGGGGTCCATTGTACTGATGCAACGTGACTGTGAGGTATCAGGAACAAAAGGGAGATTTTTACGCTGCATTATGTCCACACTTCACAGACTACAGTAGACTGTGTGTTATCTATCCCTATTGAACAAGTCACACGGAGTTCTATTCAGGACGCATTTTGTCGTTGTCGGGCGTACTTTTTCTGGCACGACTGAACTGGTCATACGCTCTTTTACAAACATTGATGACTCCACCCACCAAAAAATGATTGATTGATTGAGCTAAGTTTTACGCCGCACTCAGCAATATTACAACTTTAGGATGGCGGTCGGTAAATAATCAAGTCTGGACCAGACAATCCAGTGATCGACGGCCTGAGCATCGATCTACGCAATTGGGATACGATGACATGTGTCAACCAAGTCAACGAGTCTGACCACCCCATCCTGTTAGTCGTCTCTTACGACAAGCATGGGTTACTGAAGACACATTCTAGCCCGGATCGTCAAGGGTTCAATTTGATATCACCTTAAGTACATCCACTTTTTCAGAATTTGCATTATGACCGACAGTAACAGCAACACCACTACCCGGATCTTCAGGGGTCACCCACCAAAGAAAAATATTCACGAATTTTATGGTAGCCATTTGGAGCATATTTCAGTTGTCAGTAACCTCGTATTGATTACCAAATGTTTCTGTTTGTTTGGTGTCAGCCCGATCTGTCGACAAATGAAAAATAGGATGTTCCTAACCGTCGACAAAACAAAAAACCCGGAATGTCGACATCGCGTGGTCAACATACCGTGACGGTGTTAAATAATGAAAGAGAATGTTTGCTTAGTGGTTGCAAGTGGCCATGGCGGCTACAGCTATGCTCGTATCATGAGTAAATGAATTAAGTAGATTAAAGAGAATGTCTTTTTAACAATTTGCAAGAGAATTAAGGTTGCAAAAACCAGATTATTATTTTACGTTATGCGAGTGGAAGGATTACCATTTTGGAGTTTAACATGCAACAACATGAGAAACAGAGAGCTTACAAATTATTTTGTGATATTGGGAGTAGAAGGATTATCGAAATGCTTTTGTAAACATTTCGCATGTGGGTATATATAATAGAACATGAATATTTTGTTACCACTGTCAAAATGGCAAATGCTATGGTGCGGGTTTAATTGATTGACAACATTCATAGAGGTCAGAATCTTTACCACAATGGATTCAAGTACAGAGTCAACAGACGCAGAGGTCAGAAAACATACTGGAGATGTACAGATCCAACCTGTCCATCATATCTGGTTACAGAAAACAACCTGCTGAATATGGTCGGTCAAGGTCACAACCATCCTGCTATTCCGTTTCTTACTAAGGTTGATGCGTTCAAGTCACACAGAAAGTAGGCCTTGCTTCAGAGTACAAGTCAGACAACAATGTGAAAAGACTAGTGCGTCGAGCTGCAGCTCTACCTTTAGTGCCTCTGGATAAAGTTGAAGATGTCTGGCTTGATGCCATTGCAGACGCACCACTAGGTGAAAAGGCGACACAGCTGATGGATTACGTTACTACCACCTGGGTAGAAGGTCCATGGACACTGTCAACTTGGAATCATTTTGAAAATGATGGACACAGAACTAACAATAATTTGGAAGGTTGGCACAACAAAATCAACAAGTATGCCATGAAGACACATCCGAATGTATTTGAGGTTGTGCGAATGCTACAAAAAGAACAGTCATCTACTGAAGTAAAAATTCAGCAGATCCAAGGTCAGCAGAGAGATCCTGTCCGTAGACGTCGCTACCGAATCATCGACGCTAGGATTCGATCCTTGAAGGCCGACCTTCTTGCCGACAGACTTACTGATTTGAATTACACAGACCATGTGTCAGAGTTGCTTCATCCTGGCTGAACATTCAGATTACTTCAGTGCACATATAAACGACTTTTGGCAAGTAGAAATAACTGGACTCATCTTTTATATATTTATTACTTATACACCAACAGAAATCACTTATTTATATAAAACACACACACAAATATATTGTGTGAGCTTTATGAAATATATTAACAAATATGCTATATTGTGTGACATATGATACATGTATGTTGTTATATTGACTGAATAAATATATTGTCTAATATATATATCACACTCTGTTTTAATTAGTTTGTTAATTTCGAGAACACTGGGAGTGAAATCACTCATGTAGAACATCACCTCCCTTTTCCCGGACTGTCGCCAAGTAATTTGGACGGATTATTTCTTGTTGTCGACAGTCCGGGCATAAACCCGTTTGTTTCTGTGCAAGCATGCCTGATTGATATGGATTACAGTTCGAAAACAAATGCCTGTACAAGATGAAACGACCCCGAAGATCCGGGTTAGAACAGATCTTCAGTAACCCATGCTTGTCGTAAGAGGTGACTGACGGGATCGGGTGGTCAGGTTTACAGACTTGCTTTATCATGCCATCGTATCCCAATTCCCATCGTATCCCAACCCTATTCCCAAGATGGAAACACGATGAAAACAAGATGAAACTTTTCACGTTTCACCATATTAAATCGTTATGTCATGTCTTTTCTTGTTTTGCTTTGTTTTATATACTCTCCCAAAAAGGAAACGCATATAGAATTTCAACTGTATTTTTATGTTTATTTTGAAACATCTTGTAGGCTTTATGAGTCAATGAAATATAGCGAAATTGCACACTGGGAATGCAGACTTATCCGTCTTTGGCACCAACTCGAGGAAAGTCAGTTTGAGTGTCACATGGAGACGTGTGGTGGCGCTGAAGTCAATACCTCGTGTGACCACCGTGGGCATCCAGAACTGCACGGCATCGCCTCGGCATCGAACGAATAAGTCTCAGAATCTTGTGTTGCCCAATCGCAGCCAACTCTGCCTGTAGTGCCTGTGCGAGTTGCTGAAGTGTCTGGGGCTGAGGGTTACGGCGTCGCACCCGTCTGTCCAGGGCATCCCACAGATGTTCGATCGGGTTTAAGTCCGGTGATCTTGAGGGCCAGGGGAGCACATTGATGTTGTGGTTCTGGAGGAAGTCTCTAGTGTGACGTGCTGTGTGGGGCCTGGCATTGTCCTGTTGAAACAACTCCCTCTGGCGATCAATGATTGGAAGGAGGTGTGGGCGTAAGATTTCGTCACAGTACCGTTGAGCTGTCAGGTTACCCTGGATCATCACCAAATCACTTCTCCTACGGCAGGTGATCGCTCCCCACATCATAACACTGTCCCGGCCGAATCTGTCCACCTGGGGTACGCAAGCGTCGGCGAAACGTTCACGTCGACGTCAGTACACCCGCATTCTTCCATCGCGTCGTTCCAATAGAAATTGTGATTCATCACTGAACCAGATTCGACGCCAATTCGGTAGGTTCCAGGCCTGAACGTTGGTGCACCATTGAACTCGATGTCGACGATGTTGTTGTCGAAGCACAGGGCCAAAATAAGGTCTTCTGGCACGTAAACCAGCCTCTCTCAACCTGTTCCTGACGGTCTGTGCAGAAAGCCTCCTCAATCCGGGTATTTGTCGAGCGGTACTGGTCGCCGTAGCTGTTTGATGACGCAGGTGATGTACCCGGATGTAGCGATCCAGCGCCGCAGTGGTCGCTCGAGGTCTGCTACCGCATTCTGCCGGCGATATCTCTCCCAGAGACGTGAAATTGTGCTTTGGTGAACATTCATGCGTCGGGCAACTGCACGTTGAGACTGGCCAGCTTCAAGCAAACCAATGGCGATATGACGGTTGGCTTCACTTAGACATGGCATTTTGCGTTCGTCAACAATATTCCAAATACAGTGAATAATCGACAGACAGCGATCAACCTTTTATACCCATCATTGAGACTATCTGATCCCCAACTTTCACGTGCATTGCATGTGAATTGTGTATCCTGTGACACTACACGCCGAAATTGAAAATCATGCTGTTAAATACGGGTATATTACGGATGGTGCGTTTTGTTGTGATGTTTCAAAACATAAACACCATAGGACTCATAAACAGAGCAAAACCTTTTGTAAAATGAATCACGTTTTAATTCATTGCTACATGAAATTGCTATTTTCATGATGCGTTTCTTTTTTGGGAGATTATGTTATGGTATGGTATGGTATGGTATGGTATGGTATGGTATGGTATGGTATGGTATGGTATGTGATGGTATGTGATGTGATGTGATGTGATGTGATGTTATGTTATGTTATGTTGTGTTACACCTCGTGACCAATTGCCAGTAGTTTAAAACTTGACATATCTTGGGCTGTTGTATTTTCCACCCCTTCCTAGTGGTGCCGTTCGCTTTGCAAACTTACGTTATGCATGTGTGACAGAAATCATTGGTTAGTATCCAAGATTGATCTTGAATACGTTTCTCTGTTTAATAGCACTCGTTGTGGTGAAGTTCGCCAAATGGTAAACGTCCAAGACCAATGTCTAAAGTCACATTGGGATTCCCTCCAACAATAAGTTGACATGTGAAACGAGATCAAAATATCAAGGTCACATTGGGATTTCCTCCAACAATAAGTTGACATGTGAGACGAGGTCAAAATATCAAGGCCACATTTTGATTTCCTCCAACATCAAGTTGACATGTGAGACGAGATCACAATATCTAGGTCACATTGGGATTTCCTCCAATTAGGTTGTCATGTGAAACGAGATCAAAATAGCTAGGTCACAATGGGATTTCCCCCAACAATAAGTTGACATGTGAAACGAGATCAAAATAGCTAGGTCACATTGGGATTTCCTCCAACAATAAGTTGACATGTGAGACGAGATCAAAATATCAAGGTCACATTGGGATTTCCTCCAACAATAAGTTGCCATGTGAGACGAGATCAAAATATCAAGGTCACATTGGGATTTCCTCCAACAATAAGTTGCCATGTGAAACGAGATCAAAATAGCTAGGTCACATTGGGATTTCCTCCAACATCAAGTTGCCATGTGAGACGAGATCAAAATATCAAGGTCACAATGGGATTTTCTCCAACAATAAGTTGACATGTGGAACGAGATCAAAATATCAAGGTCACATTGGGATTTCCTCCAACATCAAGTTGGCATGTGAGACGAGATAAATATATCTTTGTCATATTGGGATTTAGCCCAACAATAAGTTGACATGTGGAACGAGATCAAAATGTCTACGTCATATTGTGATTTACCCGACAATATGTTGACATGTGAAACGAGATCAAAATGGTAATGCGTGGCACTCGTAAATTGTTCTGAATCCAATTTTTTTTCCACAGCAAAGTTTTTAATATACGCTTCAATAACATTGTATATTTCCAGGTGTAAGAGGTATGAGTCCAAACAGATGGAAATACTTTCGATGGCTTGCAATCGCGACAGTATTCTTCACACAACCCACGCTCAACCCGGCTGCCGACTTCCCTGAAGGTGATAACTCTCTTGAAAACAATAGCAAATGACGTTTAACTTGCGCTCTTACCTTTTGGTCACCCTGAAGGTATTGTAAGGAGTCACTGTTTCTTGTGTAACAGATCTGATTTCCTGCCAACATTTCCAAGATATGTTGATGACCACCGTACTAGTTAACCCACTCCTAATTCATTTTCATTTATATTTTGGACTCAGTCCTGACCGGTATCTACTTGGACAATCGTCATCTTCGTAGCTTGAGGAATGTGTAATCAATTATGCACTAGGGGCCCCTTTGACTGGATAATGGAGCTCCAGACATCGAGGTTCTATGTTGAAGAAAACCTCTAACCAGTTCCACATGATTTTGAACATTTATTGTTTAAGGCCGCACTCAGCAACTATAATCGACTCTGGACGAGACAATCCAGTGATTGACATCGTGAGTAGCGATCTACACAGTAGGGATACGATGACATGTGTTAACAAGCTTGGTTTGCTGAAGAGCAATTCTACCCCGGATCTCCCCGGGTTTGAGAAAGACAGACAGGCGACAATATGTTAACACCAAGTCCATGTGAAATACTGTTGGGACGTTGAAAGCATGCACTTGACAATTTACAGTTTAACAGTAGGAATGCATTACTTAGGTAACAATATGCCAATGAAGACAATAAAATGCGTTTATGGAAAGCGTGTATTGAGACAAGGGTGTTTTGTTGTATATTTATAAGGGTGGGGCACACATGGACAAGTCTTAATTCTTTCATAATGTTACAATTCTAGAAGATGAATATCAGATTGCGGTCTTTACATCCCTGTACCGGAAGTATTCGTCAGAAGTTGACCTGTTGTCAGAGGACGCTTTGAATTCTGACCTACTCCCTTCAGAGACCAACCTTCAACAGGAGCGAGAGAAGCGAGATGTTCAGTCTTCAGGTGATGGTGAGTAGATCTACCAGATTTGACACAGGCCCTAATTGGTACGTTTTGTAACAAATAACGTTATATTTTCAAACTAATTGTGATAAAATTATTGTGCTAAACCATGATTGTGAGGTTCCCAGTTTTGTCTTCCGGGATTTGTGTTCGGGGGTTACATATCTAGAGTTTGACTTCCGGAGAGTTATGTGTTCAGCATCTACCAGGAAGCAAATAAGTATGTTTTCGGGGTTTTAACTCGCTGTGTGTTCGGGTGTTTCCTAGTTTTGTCTTCCGGAGTTATGTGTTCAGCATCTACCAGGAAGCTAGCAAGTATGTTTTCAGGGTCTAACTTGTTATGTGTTCAGGGGGGTTTCTGGGAGAGTATGTTTCGCATCTACCAGGAAGCTAATAAATATGTTGTCAGAGTCCTAAATCGTTATGTCTCTGGGGTTCCAGCATCTAGTTATGTTCAGCAGCTACCATAAGCATGTTTTCAGGTCTAATGTTAAGGGGTTTCCTATGTGTTCCGGAGGTTTCATTGACCACCAGGAAGCTAATAAGTATGTTTTCAGGATCTAACTTGTTATGTGTTCAGGGGTTTCCCTGTCTTCTGGAGAGTTATGTGTTCAGCATCTACCAGGAAGCTAATAAGTATGTTTTTCAGGATCTAACTTGTTATGTGTGTTCAGGGTTTCCTAGTTTTTGTCTTCTGCGAGAGTTATGTCTTCGAGAGTTATATTGGCATCTACCAGGAAGCTAATAAATATGTTTCGTGTGGAGAGTTATGTGTTCAGCATCTACCATGAAGTCCTCAGGAAATTGTGTTATGTGTTCTGGGGGTTTCCTAGCTAATAAATATGTTTGTCTAAATTGTTCTGTGGGAGTTATGTCTTCTGGGGAGTTATGTATGTTCAGCATCTACCATGAAGCTAATAAGTATGTTTTCAGGGTCTAACTTGTTATGTGCTCTGGGGTTTCCTAGTTTTGTCTTCCGGAGAATTTTGTGTTCAGCATCTACCAGGAAGCTAATAAGTATGTTTTCAGGATCTAACTTGTTATGTGTTCAGGGGTTTCCTAGTTTTGTCTTCCGGAGAGTTATGTCTTCGGCATCTACCAGGAAGCTAATAAGTATGTTTTCAGGATCTAACTTGTTATGTGTTCGGGGGTTTCCTAGTTTTGTCTTCGGAGAGTTATGTCTTCGGCATCTACCAGGAAGCTAATAAGTACGCTTGTCAGGATCTAATTTGTTATGTGTTCAGGGGTTTCCCGTAGTTTTGTCTTCCGGAGAGTTATGTGTTCAGCATCTACCAGGAAGCTAATAAGTATGTTTTCAGCGTCTAACTTGTTATGTGTTCCGGGTTTCGTAGTTTTGTCTTCCGGAGAGTTATGTGTTCAGCATCTACCAGGAAGCTAATAAGTATGTTGTCAGGGTCTAACTTGTTATGTGTTCGAAGGGGTTTCCTAGTTTTGTCTTCCGGAGAGTTATGTGTACTACATCTACGAGGAAGCTAGTAAGTATGTTTTCGGGGTTTTAACTCGCTGTGTGTTCGGGTGTTTCCTAGTTTTGTCTCCCGGAGAGTTACGTGTAGTACATCTACGAGGTAGCTATTTTTTCAGGGTCGAATTTGTTATGTGTTCAGGAGTTTCCTACTTATGTGTTCCGGGGAGTTTGTGTTCAACATCTACCATGATGCTATGTTTTCAGGGTCTACCTTGTTATGTGTTCAAGGTAATAATGTGTCTCAAATGCCACACGGTTCACGTAGAGGTAGCAGGAAGGAGTTATCTTCTCCTTTCAGATGTCGACGAATGTCTGGATCCGGACCTCAACACGTGTCTACAGAACTGCACAAACACAGATGGAGGATTCAACTGCACCTGTTTTGAGGGCTACGAGGAGGAGGGTAACAACTGCACGGGTGAGATATCAGTATAGGTTTGACTGGTAGAAATACAGATATACACTTACATTATAAAATATCTCTCTCGTAAACAATAAAATCAACATGTGATAAGTATACAAATATGGTATGTTGTACATTAGGTTGCATCCGTAGATGAAGATGCAGATGCAATCACACTTTGTATTAAATAACGTTCTATTTTTTAAACTGATTGTGATTAACAATGTTATATAAATATAGTTTTATTATTTGTATCCCCTTCGAATTATTTATTATGTCCTGACGTGTGTAAGGCGTATTGTCACTGTGAAGCTTTATTGGAGAGTGCGTGAGAGAGTGAGAGAGAGACGATGAGAGTGGTGAATGTACAAAGGGGAGGGATGAGAGGGGTGAAAGTACATGAGAGAAGGGTGAGAGACATGAGTGACGGGTTGAGAGACTGTTGAGCTAGACATGGAACTGGAACAGCAACAGGTGAGTCGCCTGGACACTCTGATGCCGTCATTGAGGACCAGGAAGACGGTCCAGACGTTGATCCAAAGGTAAGCATATTCCGTGGCAGCTACAGAAGTGATTATCCCATCTATGGTTACAGCACAGGGTCACATATATCTCCGCTCTGCACGCTCATTGAGCGCTATGAAAAGTGATAAAGGGAGATAAACCCTTTGTTTATATTGTCTGTCGATTGCCACTGAAAGTGTTAAAATAAACCGATTCGAAACAACACACATGTATTATGCTCGTTAACTCTTTTACGTTTTATCCTAATATATGACAATTGTGATGCAGCCTTACTCGCAACTTATAATATCTATCCATACACCGTGTAACCATAAAATGAACGTTGTACGTATTTTAAGCCATAAGGACAAAACAAGATAAAAATAAGATTTAAGATGTACAATCGAAATATGTTCTTACAGGCGCAATTTCTTTCATTTTTTCTTTTGTTTACCATGGCGAGTTGGTTCGGCATCTCTTTTTTTCTGTTCTGCTTCTTGTTGTTTTTGTTTGTTTTGTTGTTGATGTTTTTGTTTGTTTGTTTTTATCATGGTGGAGATGCAAGCTTTCCCTTGTAAGGTGCCTCCATAAAGGCAGGTGAAATAGTGCTTACTAGTAGACGGAGCCTCAATAAAGGGCCATGTCAGGAATTATATTTGCTATTTATTCATACACAACTGAACACTAACAAAAGTTTGTTTCCAGATCCGGTTGGGAACACTGCTGAAGAGAAGATTCCAATGTCTTATTTGGAACGCTTCCGAACAGGGAAAGTCTTTTAACGCAGTGGAAAAGCCTTGCCACTCTTTCCAGAATATATATACTCAGCAGCAAAAAACATCCGTTAGTACGAATTCAAAATTAGATAGGCACTGTAATCAAATCATTACAGAAATGTAAGTTTTCAGGGTCTAACTTGTTATGTGTTCAGGTGTTTCCTAGTTTTGTCTTCCGGAGAGTTATGTGTTCAGCATCTACCAGGAAGCTAATAAGTACGTTGTCAGGATCTAATTTGTTATGTGTTCGGGGGTTCCCTAGTTTTGTCTTCCGGAGTTATGTGTTCAGCATCTACCAGGAAGCTAATAAGTATGCTTTCAGCGTCTAACTTGTTATGTGTTCCGGGGTTTCGTAGTTTTGTTTTCCGGAGAGTTATGTGTTCAGCATCTACCAGGAAGCTAATAAGTATGTTTTCAGGGTCTAACTTGTTATGTGTTCCGGGGTTTCGTAGTTTTGTCTTCCGGAGAGTTATGTGTTCAGCATCTACCAGGAAGCTAATAAGTATGTTGTCAGGGTCTAACTTGTTATGTGTTCGGGGGGTTTCCTAGTTTTGTCTTCCGGAGTTATGTGTTCAGCATCTACCAGGAAGCTAGCAAGTATGTTTTCGGGGTTTTAACTCGCTGTGTGTTCGGGTGTTTCCTAGTTTTGTCTCCCGGAGAGTTACGTGTAGTACATCTACGAAGTAGCTATTTTTCAGGGTCGAATTTGTTATGTGTTCAGGAGTTTCCTACTTATGTGTTCCGGGGAGTTTGTGTTCAACATCTACCATGATGCTATGTTTTCAGGGTCTACCTTGTTATGTGTTCAAGGTAATAATGTGTCTCAAATGCCACACGGTTCACGTAGAGGTAGCAGGAAGGAGTTATCTTCTCCTTTCAGATGTCGACGAATGTCTGGATCCGGACCTCAACACGTGTCTACAGAACTGCACAAACACAGATGGAGGATTCAACTGCACCTGTTTTGAGGGCTACGAGGAGGAGGGTAACAACTGCACGGGTGAGATATCAGTATAGGTTTGACTGGTAGAAATACAGATATACACTTACATTATAAAATCTCTCTCTCGTAAACAATAAAATAAACATGTGATAAGTATACAAATATGGTATGTTGTACATTAGGTTGCATCCGTAGATGAAGATGCAGATGCAATCACACTTTGTATTAAATAACGTTCTATTTTTAAACTGATTGTGATTAACAATGTTATATAAATATAGTTTTATTATTTGTATCCCCCTTCGAATTATTTATTATGTCCTGACGTGTGTAAGGCGTATTGTCACTGTGAAGCTTTATTGGAGAGTGCGTGAGAGTGAAGAGAGACGACGAGAGTGGTGAATGTACAAAGGGGAGGGATGAGAGGGGTGAAAGTACATGAGAGAAGGGTGAGAGACATGAGTGACGGGTTGAGAGACTGTTGAGCTAGACATGGAACTGGAACAGCAACAGGTGAGTCGCCTGGACACTCTGATGCCGTCATTGAGGACCAGGAAGACGGTCCAGACGTTGATCCAAAGGTAAGCATATTCCGTGGCAGCTACAGAAGTGATTATCCCATCTATGGTTACAGCACAGGGTCACATATATCTCCGCTCTGCACGCTCATTGAGCGCTATGAAAAGTGATAAAGGGAGATAAACCCTTTGTTTATATTGTCTGTCGATTGCCACTGAAAGTGTTAAAATAAACCGATTCGAAACAACACACATGTATTATGCTCGTTAACTCTTTTACGTTTTATCCTAATATATGACAATTGTGATGCAGCCTTACTCGCAACTTATAATATCTATCCATACACCGTGTAACCATAAAATGAACGTTGTACGTATTTTAAGCCATAAGGACAAAACAAGATAAAAATAAGATTTAAGATGTACAATCGAAATATGTTCTTACAGGCGCAATTTCTTTCATTTTTTCTTTTGTTTACCATGGCGAGTTGGTTCGGCATCTCTTTTTTTCTGTTCTGCTTCTTGTTGTTTTTGTTTGTTTTGTTGTTGATGTTTTTGTTTGTTTGTTTTTATCATGGTGGAGATGCAAGCTTTCCCTTGTAAGGTGCCTCCATAAAGGCAGGTGTAAATAGTGCTTACTAGTAGACGGGGCATCCATAAAGGGCCATGTCAGGAATTATATTTGCAGTTTATTGATACACAACTGAACACTACCAAGAGTTTGTTTCCAGGTCTGGTTGGGAACACTGCTGAAGAGAAGATTCCAATGTCTTATTCGGAACGCTTCCGAACAGGGAAAGTCTTTTAACGCAATGGAAAGTCTTGTCACTCTTTTCAGATTATATATATATTTCACAGAAAACAGACAAACGTTCAAAATTAATGGCAATGTTTTGATAAGATCAAGATTCTGCACAAGATTTTGCACAAACATCGTAACTTCTTAGTTGTATCGTCAACAATATATCATTTCGTATATTGTTTCTCAAACCCTCCTCCCACTGAATCTGACCATGAGAAACACCCACAATAATAGTGGATGCGCTTCTCCCTGGGTCACTTCATTGCTATGGTGATGTAAAGTATACACAGCTTTGTTTAACATCTCCATTCTCTCCTGATCCGCTGTTTGAAACTGGCATATGACGTTATAACTGATCAAAAATATACTACGAAATTATACTTTTGAAACAACATTTATTTTCATGTACAAAAAAAACGAAAGAAGGGACTACACAAACAAATATAAACATCACTAGCTTGGAGATCCGATGTATAGCTTGGAAAGTTCAGCAACTTGAAGTGACAAGGCACACCCAGGGGTTGACAGTGAGTAAACATATAAATGAATGCTTAAGATAAAAACCAAGGCCAATTATTTTTAACATAGAAAAGGCGTAAACTAGGGCCCACTTGGTCCAGGGTCTCATATTGCTACATAACGCGCACAGTTTGACCCTGATCAGAACCAATGCAAATCATCGAGTCTGTAAATCATCGAGTTTGGATTAGACAATCCAGTGATCAACAGCATGAGCATCGATCTGAGCAATTGGAATACGATGACATGTGTCAACCAAGTCAGAGAACCTGACCACCTGGTGCCGTTAGTCGCCTCTTACAAAAAGCATGGGTTGCTGAAGATCAATTCTAACCCGGATCTTCACGGGTCAGACAAGGATATAAACTGAGGATCAAACTAAGCTGACATTTAGAAGAACAAGGGAGGCAGTTTTATGAATATACAACTTCTTTATTACAATATATACAATGTGTCGGTGTATTTCTTGCTTGTTGCTTAAAACCGCACTCAGCAATATCCCAGCTATATGGCGGCGGCCTATTAATCATCGAGTTTGGACCAGACAATCCAGTGATTGAACATCGATCTTCGCAGTTGGGATACGATGACATACGTCAACCAAGTCAGCCAGCCTGACCACCCGATCCGTTTAGTCGCCTCTTACGACAAACATGGGTTACTGAAGATCAACTCAAACCCGGATCTTCACGGCTAACACCGTTATCAAGCAAATGATGTACAGTACTGCAGGTAAAGCATTTATACACATGAGTAAGGATAATGTTTATACAGACTGATGATGTTAACTGGTGTACACAATACATACGGCTGATGTACAAAGTGTGATGGGTGTTTACACAATAAGGATAATGTTTATACAATGCAGGATTATAACAAGGAAGAGATTATGAGCAAGCCCGCAATGAGATGGACAATGAGCGAAATGAGAGATGGAATTAAGGCTGTTAAGTTAGGAGTTGATCGTAGGCAGTACGTATGCAATAACCTTGGTCTCTGTTGGCTGGTAGGTGTGAATGACTTCTTGTAGTTTCAGTCTTGTAGTGGCCTGATAGCTGAGGAGTACCTTAATGCTGCTCCAAAGGATGCTGTGGTCTGAGCACAGAGTCTTTGCTCTTCTCTGAAGGTTGGTGTTCTTTAATTCTTACAGGGAGGGGCCTGGTACTTTGGCCTATAAACGAATGACCGCAGTCACATTTTATTTGGTTAACTGCACTTGTGGAGTCTTCTTTGTTTGTTGGGGTTGGTCTGCCATTGGTATGAAGAATTTTCTGTACGGTTCTACCTCTCTGGAACGGTACATTGATGCTGGCTTGTTCTTGGCTTGGTGTCCGAGGTAAGCCATCAGCAGAGACCAAGAAAAACACGAAGCCAACATCGATGGCGTGTTATGGAAAGTGAGTGAGTATGGATTTACGCCGCTTTTAGCAATATTCCAGCAATATCAAGGCAGAGGATACCAAAATGAACTTTCACCCATTGTACCCATGTGGGGAATTAAACCCTGGTCTTTGGCGTGACGAGTGGGCGCTTTAACCACTAGGCCACTCCATCGCCCCCCTGTTTTAATACAGAAAGGACATAGATCATGACACAATAATAACAAAATGTTACTATACCTCATTTCAGGGAATAAATGGGGTCCAGATCAAGTCACATCCAGGGAAAGATGTAAGAAGATAGCAAAACATAAAATCACAATGTCGTGTGATCGAATTCCAATGAACAAGTGAGGATTCTGTAGCACGCGAACATGTTAAAGGAATCTATGGGTTCTGGGAGAGGGCTACTGGCCGTGTTGCAAGACATATTGGGCATACGGACAGGGTACATTTTGGCCTGGTTCGATGTGAATAGTAAGCCTTAGTCTGTTTGCATGCTGAAAGTGGTTGAATTGCCAAAATGTACACATGGAATAAAGTATCGCAACCGCCGTTGTTTTTGACGATCCGACAAATCTGAATGGACAACGGTACGCCATTGACATCTCAGATAGGGTTGTACCACATTTCGATAACCATCCTCTACAAGACCAGCCTTCATGAGAAGCAATGTTTTGTCACATCGTGCGTGCTCTTGCCGTTGGTGATTTCTTACATCAAGAGGCGGTAGCAACTCTAACTTGGCCCACCAAATCTCAATGCTATAGAGCATGTTTTGGACATTATGGATCGCACGCCTGAAAGATCCTACTACAGTACAATATCCTAGTGTAATGGAAGAAGCCTTCCACCAAGAAAGGAACGCAGTACCTCAACGTCACATTCAATGTCTGAAAAAATTCAAGGAGTAGGGTCAAGGATGTTTTTGCAGTTCAAGGTAAAGCAGTTATTGCCATTCTGCTCGGTTATTGATTCTTAAGCGATTTCTTGGGGGTTGTATGCCAGAATCACTTAATAATGTCATGCGTCCCACAGTAAATCAACAATACAAAAGGAGACAGTGTTTGCCGTTATACACTTTAAAATTTCGTTATTCTTGCGGAAAGTTAAATTGTGGTTTGGATAAGTACATTTGCTATATGTAATGGCAAAATATTGATACCATTAAATATAGGGTAACGCAACACGCATACAACCCGTAAAAAAATAGTAATTCTGAGTTACCATATTTCAGTTCACAGGCAGCCACTTTACGTGAAGATCGAGGAATCAACACAAGTGCCTGAGGGTGATAATGGCCGTCTCGATATGGTGGACAGAAATGCACTGACGATAATACTGGAATAAAGAACAGCTAATCTGTCCCAGCCGGGATAAAGACTAAGATCACCAGCGATTCCCTATGCAAAATCAGTTATCTGTTCCGATATGTTTGAGATATAACCTGACTGAATCGTTAATGAAAAGTTGCCGACAATATATGTAATGGAATGAAACTCTACGACCAACAGTGATCATAATAGGACTTTGAGCCCATTGTAAAAGTGTTATAATTGCGCCATAGACGGCGTGGTAGATAAACCTGTTTAAGGACTGGAGTGCTGACTGTACAGTCAACGAAGTCACCTTTTCGATCTTCCAGTATTTTTGGATAACCGACAGCGCCTGCGACACTCGCCCTAATCAGGTCCCCTACTTCCACCGCAGTCGGGATACTGGGTACTCATATTGTGTGGGTACGCATATTGTATGCAACAATACTCATGTTCACCTATTTCGTGTATGCAATATGTACTACTCAATGATCGTAGTTCTTTACTTGTAACACACAAACATTAAAGCATGAAAACAAAATAAAAATTTGTTTCGTTCAGCGTCTTGTGTTTAAGCTTTAACAACATTTTTCCTCCCGATAAACTGGTCATATTAAAGGGCGGTAACTCCTCAAATGACCGCACAGCATTAAATGATTCAGTCATTTATGCTGTTAGTCTACTGGTTAGTCTATTGCTTGTCATACTTGCGACAAAGGTTCGACTGACATGGGTGCAATGTGCAGTGGGTTACTGACTTAACTGTTCATAAAACACTATCACCGAAATTTTGGATAAGGAAAGATAATGAAGTCATAACACTCAGAAATATGTTGTAGATATTTAATAGTTTGACACTTTGATCTGCAATCTGATACAGTAATCAATATGTCTTTGTACAATCATTCCACTTGTTTCTGGAGCTTAATACATGGTCCACTCAATATTCAATTAATTACATGTACATTGTTGAAATCAGGCAATACTGAGAACTGATAAAACTTTCTCTCAAAATTCATACCATACACCTGCCATGAGATCAAGTAAGATCGATGCAAGGCAGTAATTGTCATTTCATGGGGAAACCATCCTGAAACGTCTTGACCTAACATTCACTTTCCATTCAAACACCTCACAATGTCCTATAGTATCTTAAGTTAAATTTTATGCCACTTCCCATCTGGACTACCAGCGGTTACTTTCCAATGTTACAAAATTCTATCCTTCCTTCACTCATACTCGCTGTGATTGGAAAACCACTTGAAACCAAATATTTTTGAAAGACTTTATTATACAATTTCTTTACATAAAAAATTATGTATATAGAACACAGTAAATGCACTCAGCATTCCATGAAAATTGTGGCAGAAAATTAATATTAATATATTAAATGAAATTTACTTAATTGGCCTAACGTTTGCCACTGTCAATTTGATGGTGGTGGGGGCGGGGTTGTGGAGGGTCTTCAGGCGGGGAGGGGAGGAGGAGGTACCATGGGGAGAGGGGGGTTTGTCTGGTATCCCTGCATGCTCATGAATCCCTGCATGCCGTACTGAGCAGCCTGACTGTGCTGCTGCTGTTGCAGGCGATGCTGTGCTATCTGAGACTTGGTGTGGCCAATCAGCTGCTGCATGTTGGTCTGAAGCTGCTGAAGACTCTCCTTCGTGTGCATGGTCATGGCTTGTGGGTTCATCCCACCCCCATTTGTCTCCAGTCCATGCACTGATTGGCCACTATCTGCTAGGAACATTTCAGGCATGAAACCAGGAAAAGAGTCACTGAAATTTGAGCTCATGTTAGTCTGTTGAGGGTATCCCCCATATCCAGCTGTACTCACATTTGTGCTTCCTCTATGACTGCCAGAAGCTGTTTGAGACAACATCATAGCACCCGTATTAAATATATTGGCTTCAAAGTTTTGGTGAACAGGTGGAGGAGAGAAGATGCTTCCAGAAGCTCCTCTCTCTCAGCAGTAAAGGCTAGGTTCGGCAGATTAGCCTGACGACCCACAGACTGCTGCAGTTTCCCATCATGCCCTGCTCTGGATTGGTGCTCAGCACCTTTATGATGGGAGTTAGAATGTCTACTGTTTGAATGGCTTGGATCATGGATGCCATTGCCATCTACTCCTGATGCAGAACTTTGGGAGGCAGAGTAGCTGTGCCTGCCGGTCTGGACACCGTGTGCATCAGGATTGGCTCCAGTCGAGTGTGAACTGTAGCCTTCGCTACGCCTATGTTTTGAAGATCTCTCACCATGACCCGATGCCTGACCAGGTTTCAAAGAGAGCTTCATTTTTAACGAGTCTTGTCGGTGTTCAGAAGACATATCTTGAGATTTTGATGGACTTGATTCACTTTGTAAAGTTTTGATTGTAAGTTTAAGGGGTGAACCAGTTGGTTTAATCTTATGAGTACCAGACTCTTTTCTTATGTGGACTTTAAAGGAGTCTTCCACTTTCTCCTTTTTTTATATGAACTTTGAGTGAATCATCTGATTGCCTGCCACTCCTACCAGAATCATCCGCTCGATCTTTCTTAATATGAACTTTGAGGTGATCATCCGACTGTCTCCTGTTGGAATCATCCATCCGATCTTTCCTGATATGAACTTTGAGATGATCATCTGTTGGCCTGCCACTCCTAAAGGAGTCTTCAGCCCGTTCTTTCTTAATATGAACTTTCAGATGATCATCTGATGGCCTGCTGCTCTCCTCCATACGATGACCATATTTTCTTTCATGTTCCCTGTTCCTGCTCTTCTTTTCATCCCCTGAACTGGATGACCCGTGTTGATGCTTATGTTTTCTGTGAGACTCTGTGCCTGCGGACACAGCGTGAGGTTTTCGTTCACCTTCGTGTTGGGCAGCTGCCGCAGCAGCAGCAGCAGCAGCAGCTTGCTTATCCCTGTGTTCACGATATGTTTTATAGTCTTTAATTGACATTGCTTTCTGTTGTGTGTCTACAACCTTTTTCTGACCATCTAACAAATCAGCAGATGAGGAGGACTGTGGCAGCGAGGGGGATTTGTTGCCCCAGGGATTTACTGGAACCTACACTAGTTTCTGATGCCGACTTCCTAACTGGTGTGGACTGTGTGTGTCTTCGAGGAGGTGGGTCTTCCTCCTGCAGATGTTTCGATGTCTCTGTGTGAGACAAAGGTATTGTCTCAGATCTGTGCAGTTTACCCAGACTTTCATTTTTCCTCTCAGATCTAGAAGATTCTCCTCCATGTTTGTCCTGCACTGTAGACATATTTGAAGGAGTGAAGCTTGAACTACTTCCACCAGCACTGGAACTGCTCTCACCCCTGTGGCGCTTCTCTGGGGGAGGGCCACCATCTTCCTCCCCTCGATTGCCACTCTGAAACATTATCATATAACTAAGAGAAGAAGAAATGAAACAATTAGATGAAACAACAACCTCAATAACATTTCATAAATAGACTAATATTATCTTATATTTCATACATATAATTCTCACAGCTTGACAGGATGAAAACTAAGGTTTCATTAAATCCTCATCTACATATGGACTTTAAACACTATAATTAATTACAAATGGTAGACATATTTTCAATAAACTGATCACAAGAGACCTCACAGATTCAACTTACCTTCCACGTAAGGATCTTCCTTTTCAGTTTTAAGGGACATGTGTCAAGTATATTCAGAAATTCCTGTGTGAGGCCTGTAAAGAAACAAATAGATATAAAGGATCTACTGTTAAAAAAGGGCATCCACTGTAACACAAACGTTTAGCAGTCTATAACAAATTTCCAGGTATTTTCCTGTCTGGAATAATTTAACAAGCAATCATGTGAAATGGGGTTCAAGGTTAACAAGTACCATCTTAATGTCTTCATGGATCCAACACTAGAATTTCTTTGGGCAAACACTCTCCACTGGACCAGAGTTGTTACACTTAACATGTGTCTTACAAGGATCCTAATAGTTTAAGATGTGGCATATGCATAACAAAAACACTGCATTTAATATTAAAAAGTTCTTCTCCATACTTAATCGACTGTTGATATAGATGAGATGACAATGACGACCATACCCTGAAGCAACTCTGGAGTGACTGTCCGGTCTACATAGGAGTACCACTGCTTGCCCTCGTGAGACACAGCAATCTGGAACCAACAAAATGCATCACATCTTCCACACGACACAACAGGGCCATAGTCACAAACACTCTCAAAGTGAGGTGTATCCAAATATCAAGTTATGCAGCTCTGAGATAAACTTGAATATCAAACACTGTACAGCCTGAAGCCTTAGAAAACTAGGCACTACTTTCAAATTCACTGCTCGATAATTATTCAAGTGGATTATATATGATCATTACAAGGTTGCAGGTGAAATGGGGTTTAACAAAGCACTTAAGAATATTTTGCTCATAGGACGAGGTGCATGCGTGTGTATGTGTGGCTGCTTGTACTAGCCCAGACTTAAGCTGGATTTATAGTGCTTGCTCACTGAGGTACCATGCCACAGTTTAGCATGAATACCTCACTCACACACATTATACTGTCTCTGA